ATGTTTAATCTGTAATCAACGGTACAAAGTCAGAAGGGTCAAAACCAAAAGTACGACACTGATGTCAGTAGCGCGTGTCTTCCACGGGCTCTTACGCACGCTGCGCAGCGACGTCGCATGGAATTTACCAATGTTTGAAAGAAGGCCTGGGGCAAATTGTTCCATTCTTGGACAAGAGCAGCTTCTAAAGCAACAATGGTGTGCATCTGTGGTCACGATCAAGGAATCTGATAGGCTCACAGGGTATTACGTGAAGGCCTTGATAAGATGCACGTAGTTAAAGCGAGATCAAGCCTTCTATTGAAGATGACAGGGGACCAACTCTGCATTTTCGAAATGACAATAGAGGCCCTGGAATGATTTCAGTATATAAAAAAATAAACAGTAATATATATTTTTATAAATCCAATTGAAATTTAAGAATAAACTATATTTTTATCTGAAAATCATTGTCGATATGTGTAAATGATACAATGGGTTTGAGCAATATTTGATTGATACGGAATCTAATGCAGTGATCTTATTATGCGCCATACTAAAAGAGTGTCAGAAATGTCTTGAAATTCAGCCATTTTTGTACACTATTCAAAAAAAGTAGGGGATATTTGATTTTGGGGGCATAATACTAAAATATGCAAATGACTACGAAAAAAGTCACTATAGAACCTAACAGAAGAAACATTTCCAGTTACATGTGACGCCCAAACGCACCAATAGCTACCGCATGGAATGCAGGTGATGCTTGGGATCATCATGGGGGTCCAACCCAAGATTTGCACGACTCTGACTTTGAATGTTACAGTCATTTTGGCATTGAATTCCAGGGTGGAAACATCAGTTTAATTGTTTTAGTGACCAGAAAACAAATTTTGATATGCGTCCGCTTACCCAAAATGAAAGGTTACGTGCCCTTGGCATGCTACAGATCGGCACAACACAGGCGGTTGTGGCGCGGACGATGAATGTTTCTCAGTCTGTCATAAGCAGGCTATGGTCCAGATACCGTGATACACAATCTGTACAGGACAGACCACGCTCAGGTCGACCAAGGGCGACAACTCAAGCCCAGGATCGATTTATCCGTACCTTGGCCTTGAGAAATCGTGTCATCACAGCAAATCAGATCAGCGCTCGTCTTCAAACAGACACTGGTGTGAGAGTGAGTGGCCAGACGATTCGGAATCGACTGCATAGGGGTCACCTTCGCGCCCGACGTCCTCGCGTGATCCCTTGTTTGAGAGATCATCACATTCAGGCAAGACGTCGTTGGTGTAGGGATCTTCAACACTGGGATAATCGACGCTGGAGCAATGTGATGTTTTCAGATGAGTCAAGGTTCACTGTTGATTTTTTGGACAGACGTAGGAGGGTGTGGCGTCGTCGAAACGAGCGCTTCCAAGACGTTAACGTCATCAGACATGATCGATTTGGGGGTGGTTCTGTTATGGTGTGGGGAGGCATCACTGTTGCTGGAAGAACGGCTTTACATGTTGTTGCAGGGCGTGTTACAGGCCAGTACTACCGGGACAACATCTTGGCAGTCCATGTTGTGCCGTTCGCACGACGTCATGGCCGCCGTTTCATCTTCCAGGATGACAACGCAAGATGTCACAGGGCCAGGATCGTTACAGGTTACCTCCAACAACAGAACATCACCTTGGCCAGCACTGAGTCCCGACCTCTCCCCCATCGAGCATGTCTGGGACATGCTTGGACAGAGGTTACGTCAACGTCAACAACGTCCTGCCAATGTCCAAGAACTTGCTGCTGCGTTGCAACAGGAATGGGACAATCTGGACCAAAATGACCTTAGACGTCTCATTAGGAGTATGCCACGTCGGATCAATGCTTGTTTGGCAAACAGAGGAGGATTTACCCGTTACTGACTTGGTTGTGATGCTGTGGTAACTTTGCTGTTTGACCCCGGGTATCATTTTACCCTTATAATGGTCAGTCTGTGCCTTACTTAGTCTAACGATCATTTGGAATAAATCGATGAATGTGAACTTTATTTCATTTTGTCATTTGTTTCTTCGCCAATTTCATTAGGTGACTTTAATAACACTTAAAAATCAAATATCCCCTACGTTTTTTGAATAGTATATTTTGCATAATATCAATTATATACGTGTGTAGAGTCAGCAGTGTGTAGAGTGCGGACTCGTGCACCCCTCCCCCCCAACTACCATAAATCTGCTGTCACCTGAACATGGCTATATTATGAAATCCTCTTCGCATGTTTTCCGGCGAGAAGGAACAGTGTCTAGTCGTTTGGATGTTACGAAAAAAACGCGGTCCAGGGACCGTGACAGAAGGTCTTACAAGGAACAGTGTCTAGCCATTTGGATGGCACGAAAAACCTAGGTCACTGTGGTTTCTCATGAGCTTAGTATATTAATTATTATACAAATCGCCAAGTTCAGAAATTTTCTAGGGGTCTTTAATAGTGGGAGGAAACTGGGGTACTCGGAGAAAACCCACGAAGTTGGAGAGGCGACTCTACTCCTTGTCACAAACGACCACGGAATCGAAACCACACCAGTTGACTCAATGACAGACATGATACAACGCACACGCGCTAACTATTCGGTCATCCATCCCCCCACCTCCCAAAGTTTGGTCTCAATTGGATTAATATTGAGTGATTTATAACCATTTAAATATGCCAGAATTTTACAAATAATGTATGGGACTTTGCAGCATCACCATACATTTCTTTGTAAATTCGACCATTTTTAAAACGCTCTAAATCTCTCAATACTGACCCGATCAATATCAAACGTTGGGATCTTGTATATGATGCGTTGTGTCTTTTTTATATGAGCTTTGCGTTGCTACTGGTAACAGTTAAGAAACTTTCAGTTTGAATAAGATAAGTTGTTTTGCAGTTATATAAGCTGTTGGTTCGCTAACCTGGAGAAACCAGGTTCGATCATGGTGTTTGTTAGTTTCCCCTGGAAGAAAACCCTCGGTACACGTTAAAAAAGCCTTTAAATTGAAGCAATAATATTTTGGTTGTCCCGCCTTTCACAGCAGGTGACTATTAAAATGGGTCTGTTTGACTGTCCGTCACAGTTTTTTTGGACACAATAACTCTCCTAAGTATAGATAATCGATATAAATGTGAAATGTGTCATCTATTTATTTTGGGATTGCGGTGGGGGCGTCAGCCTCACTGTTGGCTTGTATAAAGAGGCATTAAGTTAACATTAGATAAAGAGCTGACAGCCCTCGCTATAATAGTTTAAAAAGAAAATAGATAACGAAATGGTAATATGTTGATAATTTCAGTCAAATTACTTCACTCTTGGTCGAGATATTGTTATTTCAGTCGAATTACTTCCGTCTTGGCCGAGATATTGCCAATGCAATAAACATAGTCCCGATAATCCATTTTATGGTTATTTCATCAACCGTAAAACGTATTCAAATCTACTAAATATCGGAACTATCCGATGACATCGAGAGTTGATCATGGTTTTGGTAAGTTAATTAATGTATAATTAATAATTCATTTCAGGCATAAAGAAAGACCTGCAATAGGCAGATTTAGCTTTTGTATAATGCATGTTTAAATAAAATTGTTATCCATTCTATTCTGTGTGTGTTCAATTGTCTGTTGATGGTTTCATGTGGAATAAAAATACCTATACCAAACCCTAAACACCCCAATTTGATATTTTGAAAGTCCTTGGGGATTTCTGGCACGTATCTGTACCTGAAACCAACAAATTATGCGTACAATAATAATGAGGGCAAACCTTTATGCGTAAAACAGTGCTTTTCAGGGGCCATATTTATTATTGGGGGGGGGGGTTGTCAGGCACCGTGGGCAACCCTACTCCCATCTGGCGTTGGGTCATCAAAGTGTTGAATTCCACAAGGATCCTTCCTGGGACCCGGCATACTGTTTACTATACACTCTACCCATGGCTCGAAATGTTCGCCTGTCTACTTGGCGCCGACAGGCGATTTTTTCGTCTGACAGGTAGCAAATAAAACTACCTGCTTTTTTTAAACATTTCGAGGCCTGACTCTACCTGAGAAGGAGATATAATTAAATCACATTGAGCTTCGTATATTACACTAATCGCCAAATTCAGAAATTTTCTGAATTGTCAGCTTCGTATATTATACCAATCGTCAAATTCAGAAATTTTCTGAATTGTCAGCTTCGTATACTTGTTTATATTGAAGGTGTGTCAATGTTGTTTAAGGTGACGTGCTTATAAAAAGTGGGAGGAGCTACAGGTCTCTGACGGAAAGGTCAATTGCGGTCTGCGGTCATGCCACATGAAATGTGTGGTAACTTGATATTTTGGAAACCGCTTACCAGTTTGCAGTCGTGCCAGATGAAATGTGTGGTAAATGGATATCTCGGAAATCGCTTACCAGAAGTGGCGGAAACTTCACCTACTCTAAGAAATTATTAATGTAATCATAATCAGTCCTTGTCCAACAGTAACCCAATTACTAAATATAGACTATATATTTTCAATTTATCATATTTGTTGAAAGCTCAGATTAGCCATACCAATCACACGATTTCATTGCAGGCACAGTCAGCCAGCGAATTTCTGATAGTTTGCATGTTGATTGCCTCAATATTGTGTGGTAAATATCTTATAGTGCTGGCTTATAGTGTGCCAGGTTGATCTCGGCCTCTTTTCCGTAAATGTTATTTAGTCACGTGATATCCTACATTTGCATATCAAAGTTAGAGCTCTGTGTAAGATGCTATGTAGAAAGCATGAAGGACAAAAACGGAAATGCAAAATAAAACATTTGACACATTGCATTTGACATTTAACTTTGCCCTCAGAGGTATTTTGACTTTATCATTACCGGTATTAGGACTGTGTACTCTTTACACATAATCAATGGAAAAGACATTTTCGCAGAGCATTTAATATTGTCAGCGATACCTTTCCATATGTTTGACTATATATTTTTGTCCAAGTCAGCCTATTCTTTATGGGAACTCTTGAGAAGATACTCAATTATTCTTCATTTGTTATTATGTCATATACTATTGAAAATACAAACAGATAATAATGCATCCATAAATCACTTTCTGCTGTGCTTCCTTCCCTTAAATGTCAATAAATATTTCATCACAAGTGTTGGTTATCCAAGCGTCCGTTATCCAAACAGAAATATTGAGTGAGAGCTTTACAAATCTGATTAATTGAATTTTCCAGGAAACAACTTGAATTCTGATACAGGTCCAAGGAGTGTTGACATGACGATTACTATATCTTCAGTCAACAATGAAGTATTATTTTAAGGAGTAAATCCTGAGATATTTCCAAAATAGTACACCTGAGATTTCAATATACACATATAGAAAACTGACATTTTGTAATAAATATGGATAATTCTTATATTTCAACATTTATTATATCTACTAAAGGACATGATGTAAAAAAAAAAAAAAAGAATAAAAAAAAATAAAAAGAATAAAAACATGCTGACTACATTGCCAAACCTTGAGATGATGATGATGACTTTAGTGCAAATTAAAATTAATGAGTAAAACAAAAAAAAAAAAAAAAAGATCAAGTACACATAGAATATGTCAATCTTAAATATATTTCTGTTAGATCCTCTTGTAGCTTTATCTTCCAGTTTCTTGTTTTTTTTGTTTCGCTGGGACGAACATGGTGTTTTACAATATACAGCTTAAATCACATTACAATAATTTGTTTCACATGATACAGTACCACATGGATAATACAAGTCGGTTAAAGCCATCTTTTATACAGTTTACCTAGAAAAAGAAAAAAATTAACATAGATAATTCATATGCCATCAGTAAATCAGTTATCTGAGCTTGCAGCAACTTTTTTTATATCCCCCAAACATAATTAAATGTTTTAGATTTTTATGAGATTCATATTTGTTTATTCAAAATAATGATTTACCATAACAGAAATAGAACATATCGTTCTTTCATTTTCAAAATTCAATGAAAGAAAATCTCATCTAGTGTCCCAAACTTGATGCAAGCCAAAAATATTGAACACACTAACACTATTGACAAAACTAATTGCAATTCTGGCACTACATATAAATATATTTTTTTATGATAATAAAAACATTTTTAATAATCTTTAATATAATATTCAATTATTAGAGACAGTTTGCCACAGAAAATATTAAAGTCTGATAGTTATTATTTGCATTTTTCAGACAATATCTAATATTTCACCACTTAATCCATGCTAAAATGTACTAAAATTGATTACTTAAAATGTAACAAGCTAACAGTGAGGCTGATGTCCCCCACCGAAATCCCAAAATAAATATATGACACATTAATTAATTGCACGTTTATCTTTTTCAAAAGTATCCAGCAATCAAACTGATTATCAACTATACACTAAGTTTCATCACTCTCTATCAGATAGAATCAAGGTAAAAAAAATTGCTTATTGCTCCTTAGTCTAAGCAGGAAATTCTCATCAAACTTAGTCAAGGTAATGATAAAATGAATCTATCCTCAAGAGTTTCATCGCTCTCACGATTTTTTAATTTTTAAAGATACATTATGTAAGATTTAGATAAAGAGCTAGGAATAGATTAAGTAAAATGAATAAGTTGAAAATTTCGTTCAAATTTCAAACACCGTAATGGTTGTTCAAAGCTAACTTTTGCTCTTCCATTTTAAATTAAATCAAAATATGGCTGAACCGTTCTAATCTATTTAATATCGGAGAAATCCTTTGCCATCGAGAGTTGATTATGGCCTGGATCAGTTAATTAATATCTAATTAATAAGTTAGATAACATTTCAGGCCTAAAGAGAGACCTGCAATAGGCAGAGTTAGCTCTTGCATAATGTATGTTTAATATTGAACTTCCAACCACCTTTTTTTAAATACAGATATGTTATTAGAATAGATGATATTGCCATTATTTTCTTCTGCAAATTATCTTTATAATTTCAGACATTAATGAAACAGTTCAAATCATGTAGGTAAATATAACATTTGTCAAATATCAAGTATATAAATCTATGTTGTTACTACACAGAAAAAAGCCTAAAAAAAACCTAACTGCAGATCCACATTTAAATAAAACTTAAATAAGCCCACCCCCATGTCAGTAAAATAATTTTATTAATGATTTCTGGACATTGTTAGGGATACAAATCATTAAAAGCATTCTATATATAATTTATAGTATCTTTTTATTCTTAATAATGTCATGCTTAAGTATACAAAAATAAAATCACAATGACCACCAGACCAGGCATAGATGTCAAGTGGTGGTCATCTAGCGGTTGCCATGCAAAATACGCCCACATTTGTAAGAGATGAACGGGCACTGCCTCTTTGCGGTTGGGCATGCATGAAAATCAATTGGTGCCATCCTTATTGTACAACCATCTACCATGGCAAGATTATCCTAAAAGTGGACAGGAATAATGATACCAAGTTTGAACAAAGTCTGTCAAGAACTCTGCCTTGTCGAGTGTTCAAAAACATACTAACTCACAGAGATTAAGACAAACTTGTGCAATGTGGTCATAAAAAGTCTGTCAAGAACTCTGCCCTGTTGAGTGTTCAAAAACATACTAACTCACAGAGATAGAGGCAAGTGCAATGTGGTCATAAAAAGATAGGGTGCCAGACAACGAAACATACACCCACAGCAGCTAAGTCATCCAACCAGTCCACAAGGGTTTATTGTTTGGTATTTAATGGGAGTATTTAAAAGACATTAAAGATAGGTTGCCAAGCAATCAAACATACTCTCACATCAGCTAAGCCGTCAAGGGTTGTCGCATATATTTTCTTTTGTCCGTAATTAATACATTTACAACACACTAAAATCTGAGTAACAACCCCATTAAGTAATTATCATAAATCATTAGACTTTGTTTGGCTTCTAGTTCTGCCACATGGCATGCTTACGTTATCGGAAATCATTGAAAATCAATAGTAGGTCAGTAGCTGACATCGAATATCGTGCCACCTTTGCTCCATTGAAAAGAACATTACCATTTCAGGGAAAGAAGTCAATTATCGCATTCTCGTTGTAAAAACTGGAAGTTCTTTCAGAAATACCCTGCAGTATTAAGGGGTGAGACTACCCGAAAAATACCCTGCAGTATTAAGGCTACCCGAAAAATGTGTTCTGAAATTATAAAGCTATTGAACTGAAAATGACACAAGTAGTTAGGAAATGTAATAAACAAGAGAAAACTAACATTAAATTTTTTTTTTTTTTAAATTGTTGCTAGGGTAACACATTTTTTTTGGAAAAGTATGAAAAATGTTGGTACACCGTATCTCTGGCACTAATAAAGATAAGATTTTCAGACTGCTTATTCTTTAATGATAACCCTAAAATCAGACAGAGAGGTTTTTTTCTCTATAATTTTCATAGTTTCTTGGAAAATGGTGTTTAAAACATTTGCCTCACCACAATATTTTGTCTTTTGAGAAATATTTTGATAACTTTTCAAATATTAATAATTAAAATTGCTTTCTGTCTGATCCATGGTTAGATATTTGTTTATATATCCTACAAATTTGGGCGGGGCAACAGACGCTATCGTTTGTCAGTTGTTTGCATAACTTGGAGTAAACTGGAATTGTTGTTTCTCTTTTACCGGTAGTCAGGATTTAAGTTGTGAGTAGCTGATCATGATATATTATTTCTACAGGTATTATTTAATTTGTTTATCATCAAAACCGATTCATTTATCACAGACAATTACTCACGAATTTAACACGATGTAATAGACGGCCATGTTTGTTGTGGGCGGGACTTGAATGACAATTTCACTACCGTACGAGCAACAGAATTACAGCTGAAAGTTATGCAATAATGCAATTGCGTGTTATAATTAATATAAACAAATGTAACAAAAGCAATTTATTTCATAAAGAAATATAATTATATAAAGCTTGATACGGCTAAATATCGGTAATTATTATAACTGTAAACAATAGAGTTTGACCTAGTTACTGGAGATCGCAGGTGGATTTGAGTCACATATGTTATGGCACGAGTTTCACACGCGCTGGGAAAGGGTGCGCCTAAGCCACGCATATTTTTTTTTTCCTGAAACACCTCTGCCAAAGTCGCCCTGCGCCTTATCTACGCATGCGCCTTATACACCGAAAAATACGGTAATTGGTTACAAAGATATAGTGTACATGTACCCTGCTTTTCATAATTTTTCCCCCAAAAATGAGTTACCCTGGTAACAACATTTTTTTAAAGTTACTTTTCCCTTCTTTATTACATTTCCTAACTACTTGTACCATTTTCAATTCAATAGCTTTAACATTTCAGAACAATTTTTTTTGGGTAGCCTCTATATCTCCGCCCAATCAAACAAAAGGGTGTGTGTGCTGTGGTTCATTGTTGACTAAAATCGTCATCATCATCATCATCGGTGAGGCCTTTAGGCAGGTCAGCAACCTTTTGGCCTATTATATGCAGTATAAGTTACAGATGACGGCCTCCATGATTAAGAAGAAGGAAAACAGACAAAGGCAAAGCCAAAGAAAACCCAGCAAAACAAAAGAGACTGGACTACATTCAGGACCATTTTTGCAGAGTGGCTGAAAATAGATGGAAATGGAAAGGATATGGATAACAGAAGAGATACAAAAATAAGTTTTGATTGAAACGACAAAGTAGTAGGACCATTATTTCATGAAATGATTACAGTTAGGAAAAGAAGCTATTTGAAAAGGTAAGTTAGTTGAAAAATAATGCTTAGAAAGTTTGTTAATCTAAATCTACATTTGTTCATTGAGTTCCTGTGTGCAAATTGACAGCACATTCGATATTTCAAGTGAGTGAGACATTTATTTAAGAGACGCAGATTAACAGCTTGCCAGGCAAATTGCTCAGCTAACCATAGAATATAAATAAACTTGTGTTTGTCCTGATATAAACCCTCCCTAAGTGTTGATTGGACAATAATTTCCATTTCATTTCAAAGGCGGCAAGGTAAACTTCAGCTAGCAGAGGTGATAGTGGGCTTCCCATGGGCAATCCTCTAGATTGTTCATAGATGTCGTCTCCCCATGTAAAGTAGGTGGCCGAAATACAGGTTTGAACTAACTAACTCTCTCTGTACTTCAGTTTATAGGAAACCCACCCACACCGATCAGTATCTCCATTTTAAATCCAACCATCCGTCCCAAACCAAGAAAGCCATCATTACAACTCACTAACCGCACCCTCAATATCTGTGACCATGATCCAGGGTACGAAATAACACGCGAATGGTCGTTCAGGTTACGCATCAGTTACCATGACCCAGAAACACGCGAACAGACTTCTGTTCTCGATCACCGAGCTATAATTTATAAACTGAAGGTTTCAGTTAAAATATTCACCCCATTCCTCCGTTAAAGATAGGTTGCCAGGCAACGAAACATACGCCCACAGCAACTAAATCGTCCGGGCAGTCAACAAGGGTTGTCGCATATTTTTACTTTTATCGGTAATGAAACATTTATAATACACTAAAATCTGATTAAGAGCAACAACTCACGAAGTAATTATCAGAAAACTATTAGAATTTGTTTGGTTTTTATAAAGTTCTGCCCCATGCTAACATTTTGTATGCAAAGCTTTTAATATCATGGATTTAACTGTTCAAGTCATAAAAATTCATTGAAAATCTATATACTTGTTCGTCTCAAGATCTTAAACTCTGTGTATCAATCTGAAGTCAATCGGATGATAACTTAAGGGCCATAACTTTGGCAGTAATTATCGGAAATCGTTGAAAATCAA